AGAAAGAGAGAGAAATACAGTAGATAGGTAGGGAGAGAGAGTAGGTAGGTAGGTAGGTAGGTAGGTAGGTAGGTGGATAGAGAGAAAGAGAAATACAGTAGGTAAGTAGGGAGAGAGAGAGAGTATGTAGGTAGGTAGATGTTTCCAGGTGTATTTATCCATGTGCTGTAGAAGGAAATCGCTGACAAACCTTAAGACTTTGTTTCTGCTGGCACAGCACTTGATCAATGTAATTCTCATCAGTTAAAGAGCTTTCCAATGGGGGGGGGGAGTTTTTGCACTCTGCAAACCTCCGAAAAACAGCCAGTTTTTCACAAAAACAGGCCTGTTTTTTTCAAATAAAAGATATGAATAGTCTTGGGGGGGGGCTTGCAAAATGCTCCCGGGGGGAGCGCAAAAAACAGCCTTTTTCATGAAAACGGGGGGTTTTGTCAAAAAAAAATTGCATGTATAGCCTTATGGAGGCTTACAGAGTGCTGCGGTGGGCTCGGGAGCAAAAACCGGCCAATTTGTTTGCTCATTTCTGCCCTCCCCAGCCCCCAGGAGCTCTCTGAAAGCCTCCATAAGGCTATGCACCGCGAGTTTGGTGAAGGGGTGGGGCTTCGGGAGGCAAAAAATACTGTATTCGATGTATAAAATGCACCCAGATTTTCAGCCTCTTTTTGAGGAAAAAAGGTGCATCTTATACTCCCAAAAATACGGTATCATCATACCTACTTTGGTTCCGATTACACATACTTACAAACAAAATAGAGAAGAAACTTAGTTCTGAAGTAGCACATGCGATCTTGAAAACACTAGATCATCTTTATTTCATCATCATGAAAAATGTTTCAGGATATATTAGGATTATATTGAGGATTATATTAGTTATATTTATTATGATAATATTAATTCAAAGTTATATATTAGGATATATTCAGGATTAAATTAACATCTCATGGTATCTACCAGTATATGGTCTCTTATAACAGAACCATCAGATTCAAAGTTATCTAAAAGGTAATCAGTTTAAGAAATATAAACGATTTGACGGTTAAGATCTTACTTTGTGACCAGACTGCGGTCCTTCCGAATACTTTCTGCTCCAGGTTTATCCCTTTCTGGTTCTAACTTTTTGGAAGTTTTTTTCTGAACCCTTTTGGTTCGGGCCTTGCTGATGGTGGGTGCACAGTGCTTGGGTAAGAGCTGGGAGATAAGACAAAGATAAAGGGTTAGGGCTTATGGAGTGATTGGCTGTGGTGGTCTAGGAAATCACCTTCAAGAAGCAGCTTTTCTTCTACCAGCGTGGAAAACCAATTAATAAAATCAAGGCAACCATGACTATCCGTCAACTATGTGAAGCTTTGGTCATCCCCTAAGTATTAATAATTTGCTTTGTCCCATTAATCATCCCCCCAAAATGCTTCGGTGTAACCAGCAACACATGGTGAATCAATCTTCAGGTAAATCCAGGCTGACATCTAAGGCTTAGTTGGACCAAAAGGAGAATCCAAATGCTTTTGTCAATCAAATGTGTGAGGGGTCCTTGGTGCTCTCGAAGCTTGGTTGTTTTCTTGCAGACATTTTATTACCTAAACTAACTAGGTAATATCACTGGTGATTACTAGTACTGATGATGTTACCTGCTTTATCCACAAGAAAACAACCAAGCTCAGAGAGCACCAAGGACCCCTCATTTCAACCCTGAGCTACAACTATTCTTCTTTATTGGAGTGTGTCCAACTCTGTTTGTTTTATACTAAGAATTTAGCCCATGCCCTTCATAGCCCCATTCATTTGCCTATCCAGCCCATTCATAATTTCTGTTCCTCAGTTCTACCAGGAAGTGACCAGAGAAGTGCACATGATGTCTAGTGTGTTACAAAAAACACATGCTTTAACATTACGTTCAAAAGACCAGAATTTATATAATCTACAATATTATTCCAAAATTCCATCTTTCTCAGATGGATTATTTTCATCTTGCAAATTATTATGCCTTCTTGAAGTCTTTGTACATGGTTTGCCTCTGGTGTCTGGTCCTCAGCATCCCATATGGAGTTGGGTTACTCACTTGCTCGTTCAAATTACACTGTTCAGCACAAGCATCCAGGATGCAGGTCGAAGTCTGCTTTGCAATCTCTTCCAGGAAGTTGTTGCATATGGCCAAGGCACAGGTGCGCAGATGTGGATACTGGAATAGAAAGCAAAAATCACTTCAGTTCACTACATGGCTTGTCTATTACGATTGTGGTCAGCTCCTTGGGTAAGTGAAAATAGCATTTGTTCATTAAAAAATAGGCTTCATGATCCTCAGTAGGGCTTGATTCCTAGTGCATATGATAAGGTTCATATCTTAAATTATATACTCATCTTCCAAAAGTTAAAAATTATGTGTTTATCAAGCCCTTCATATCTTGCCTATTTGTAAGAATTTAATGCTTACTGTAATAAATACAGGACCACCACCACCAGCAGCAACAACAACAATAAGAAGTTAAAATGGTTAACCACCTCTGCTATCTCACTTCTCCATACTACATACTCTTCAAAGGACTGCCTAAGCATAGCTTCTTAAATCATATATATAGTTAAGATAAAATATCTGGAACTTTATGGTTTGTTAGACAAGATCAAAACTTTTTTTGTACTTATGAAATCGAACATACAATATGTACAGAACATTACTTTTTAAAACCAGACAGGCCAATAGAAATTATAAGAAATGGCAGAAAAAGCAAGTTTATGTAGGCTGGTAAGAACCTTTCAATCCAGCTGTTTGTCTTTCTTTTCCTCATGAGTCAAAAACATACACACCTCCTCAGGGCACATTGGATGGATCGTATTACTGAAATCAGCGCACAGAAGTGGGAAGATAATGACATAACGCAACATGGATGGTTCCTCTAAGGAGGCGGCAAATAACTTCTCCAAATGGCGCACGTGGAAACTGTCAAAGAGATAGAAACTGAAGAAGCTCACACAAGTGGAAGCAAGCAACCTCAAGGCACATGTTCCTTTTCCATTCATTCTTCTAATGAATCCTATGATGAATACTGTGTACAATTACTAAAAAAGACAATGCTCTCAATGATATGGCCTGCAGAAAGCACTGTTTCTTGTATTTTTATTTAATGGGTTTGTTTGGTGTTTTTTTAAAGAGTAATTTGAATAAAATGCCCTTCAAGGCAATTAGCAACAGATGGTACTTTCCTGATTTTTTATTTAAGAAATGTTTATCCACTTCTCTCCTACAAAGCATTCATGTAGTTTGGCATAAAAACAAAAGTATAATAACAGGTTACGAATAACACCTAAAACAAAAACACACACCCTATCCCTGCTTAACTATTAAAGAATTGAAGAGTGTCAAAGGCTTAAAAATGAATCCGGTATGGTGATCACTCCTGAAGAAAAGTGCTGCGTAGATGGGCTGTTGCTACAAACATAATCCTCTCATTGTTCATGATTCCTCTGATTACAAACCTAGGCCAGACTCAGTGGTTGTCCAGCAAGAATATAAACTCTTGTTCTTTAAGCTTCCCAAGCAATTATTTGCATACAATCGGTTTTAAGGAGCTTTGAGTAAGAGAGCCAGTTTGATGCAATGGTTAAAGCATTAGGCTAGAAACCAGGAGGCTGTGAGTTCTAATCTCACCTTAGGCAGCTCACCTTAGCCAGCTGGATGACCTTGGGCCAATCCCTCTCATTCAGTTGTAGAAGGAGACAAAGCCAAACCCCTTCCAAAATGTTGCCAGGAAAACTGCAAAGACCAGTCCAGGCAGTAGCCAGAAGTCAACATTGACTGGAAGGTGCACACACATACACATACATGTGCAATAAGATATGACCTACTCATCACCTTGAACCAATGGGTGGGTGAGAATTTGCACTTCCATCAGAATGTTGCTGTGAATTGGCATCTCATTTCTATCACTTAAAAGATTGTGCCTCTGTGGAAATTCTGCCCCAGCCTTCCTTTTCAAAACTCTAACTTTCTCAAAATAAACTTTCAAGACTAAATCAGATTACACTGAACTTGAAATATTAAACCCACTGGATCTACTCTGCCATTGCAATCTGCATGCCCCAAATCTCTTGTACAGTCAGCATTGTCTTCTGCTGTCCTACATACATACCCAAAGAAGGAGAGATCGGATGTCTCCACTATGAGTTCTTCCACAAAGTCTAGCATCTTAGTATGAAAGACAATGAGGTTCATCACCTTGGCAAGATCATGATTCTCCCGCAGTTGCAATGGGGCCTTAGTGACACTGGTGTATGCCTGATGGAAGAAAGAACCCATTGTTAAGGCCCTAACCTTTACGTTCTCAGAATAGACATAATTGATATACATTGTAGAATGGTGGGGCAACTTACATGCATATGCCCATTATCTGATAATCTTGATTATGTAATGTAGCTTTATAGGGCAATGTAATATTTTGAAAGAAAAACAGATGGTAGAAAATCTCTATTTCATTTATTATCTATATCTATACCTACCTATCTGCCCATCTCACAAATTATGAATCTGGGCAGCAAACACAGGATTGAAAAATCAACACAACTGTTGTCCTTAGGTTTGGTCAGGATCTTCTAACCTTTTCAGGTATCAGACAACCCATTTTAACATCCCTTTATTTATTATATTGATTTATATAGCCATTACTTTGCAAATTGTGAGTTTGGATGACCAATATAGAAAAAGAAAAAAAAATACTTATGATGATGATAGTGAAAAAACAATATACTACTAACTGAGGACAATTAGTCTAGAATAGCTCACTCATATGCATACAATTTACTAATAAACAGAATAATTAACCAATGGAGAACAAGCTGATACCTTATGCTAGATCAGGGCTTCCAATCTTTTTAAGTTGCAGGCAACTCTCTCCTCATCTTTTAAAATGCCTAACAAATTATGAGATTGTCAATTCTCACTCTCATCTAGAAAAATCCCACAAGAATGCTGAGATCTTTCAACATTTGGCATTCTTTCTTATTTATTATTTTATTTAATTTGGAAGAATCCTGTGGGTGGTGTTTATACATAACCAATGCCTTGGTGTCCAGGGCTGCTATTTTGCCAGTGTATTAAAAAGTGTTTACCAATGGAAATGTTGATAGTGCTAGAAAAAGAACTTTTCTCCACTGGCATGCCCAAATTCTTGACAGACAATTGAAAATGACACAACTAACTAAAAGGGAGACTATGTGAAACCCTCCAGAAGCTGATAGGCCAGTAATTTCAAATTTGCTCTACAGATAGCAATAACACTTAGATTTATATACCATTTATCATGTTTTACAGCCCTCTCTAAACAGTTTACAGAGTCAGCATACTGCCCCCAACAATCTGGGTCCTCATTTTACTGACCTCAGAAGGATGAAAGGCTGAATCAATCTCTAGCTTGTCAGGATCAAACTGCTGGCAGTGAGCAGTGAGCAAGTCTGCAATATACATTCCAACCACTGTGCCACCATGGCTCTTTCGAATGCTTTCTCAAGCCAGCAACAATATGAGCAAAATGTTTTAAAGCTCCTTTAGTGTAAACTGCATTTGAATGCCTGCAACTTACACTGCGTCAGCTCAAAGTGTCCTGTATGTATACTTCTGTAAGCCCCTCCCCTCTGTCCGCCAGTGGATAGAAAGGGTTAAGGAGCAGAGCAATGGGAAAGAGGAGACTCTTTTTCTTCTTGTCTATTATCTCCCTTTCTTTAGCAGCAATTTTTCCCCTGCTTATCCCCTAGGCGAATTCTGGGAAAAGTTACATTTTGAAATGTACGCTTTGAAAAAATAAATACAAGAGGGACTACCCAGTCAGTTCTCCTTCTCTGCTTGCAGAATTCTGTGTGTGACAAGCACAAAATGCAACCCAGCTCTCCGTTACTCACTCCCAATGAATAGATGGAACTACAGGCAATACAAAATCCTAACAGGGCATAAAATATTCCAAACACCCTAGGAGTGATTACAGGAGAAAGGGGAAGTAAAGGGAGGAAAGGCGATTGGAGAGTTGTTTACCTGTAGTCTGAACCAATCCAATCGCAGTCCCTTGAATTCAAATTTCTCCTTGACATCAACTGCAAAAGACAAGCATGAAAAAAGACAACACTTACTCAAACAACCTCGGGGATTTATTTCTGCTGTTTAAGGATGGGGGGAAAAAATTCAAGGTCAAGTAGAATGAGGCTTTGCTGCTGAAAGAACTATTTGCTGCGCACAGCTCTCTCCGCAACAGTTTACAGAGACTACATAAGGACTTGATATCTGGAGGTAATATATATCTGTAGCTCTGGTATAGTCCTACTAGCATCCAATCAATCCCACATGTAAGAAAGTATAGTCCATTTTTTTAAAAAAAACTACAGAAAATCTGAACCAAGTTTCTTTCAATGTCTGAGGCAGAGGTGAGGAACTACATCCCCTTTATGACTGGTTGACTTCAACTCCCAGAATTCTCCCAGAATGCTGGCTCAAGAATTCTGGGAGTTGAAGTCCACAGTTCGTAAAAGGGCCATAGTTCCCCCACCCTGGTGAGCTAATGTGCACACAAAGCAAAAACACAGCATCTGTAGTATGTACCTATTATAAAATCCCAAACCTTTTTCTGGCATCATGTTTAAATTACTCTTATAGAGGGACCTTTGTATAGGCCTCTTGAAAGTATGAACCTTCTGCACTGAGGGCAGGGAAAAGAGACTCAGAAACTTCTAGCTGACAGCATAATTACCCTGTTTGACAGTCAGGGATGTGAGTGTGTTGACAAAAGCTGACATAATCACTGATTCCTCTTCAGGGCACACAGTCAGGTCCTGCATGAAAGAAAAGGGCTTAGAGTGAAGACAACAATTTGTTATTTGGTGGTTTGTTTACACTGAACTTTACCGCATGCAATTATTTAAAGGAATTGTGCTGTCCGATTTAATGCTGCATCTCGCCTGAAATGTCTTCAGAAAGAGAAGCAACCATCAATATAAGTATAACAGATGCTTCAAGGCAAGGAAATCATTTTAAAGGGCTTTACTGACTCCCTTTTCTAATTTGTGACTTGTGAAGCAGCTTCCCTTCTATTGAAAAAAATAGGACTGATTTCATCTAATTCATCCACTCTGACAGCAGATAAAGATTTTTGCCAGCATCCAGATACTTTTTCTTTCTTCCATTCAATCGTAATTGATTCTCATAAATTGCCTGGACAAATCCCCTCCGTTTTTTGGGGTTTGCCATGGCCTCTTTCCTAGGTCTGAAAGAAAGCGACTGGCTTGAAGTCACTCAATTGGCTTTGTGCCCAAGACAAACCTAGAATTCATGGTCTTCTGCTTTCTAACCTCAGGCCTTAACTGTTCGTTTATATACCACCTTTATTATTTTTATAAACAACTCAAGGCAGCAACCATATTTGATAATCAATTCTTCCTCCTATGTTCCCCACAACAATAACTTATGAACTGGACTGGGCTGAGAGTGAATGACTGGCCCAAAATCAGTCAGTCGGTGACTTTAATACTTAATTTAATACTTAGAATTCTTTCATGTTCTCACTTTTTCCCACCCAATCTTTTCTATCTCTTTAGGACGGAGTCTATTTACTGGGTCCTGCTCCAGTCCCCCGTACACCATGCCACTGACCTCAGTTCTATGCTGTTTCCATACCTGTATGACGTTACCAAGCACCTGGGCATCAAAGCGTGACAAATATTGTACGTGGTACCGTTGAATGACGTTTTGGTACTGTTTAAGCAAGTTGCGGAGTTTTTCCATCAGAAACAGCAGCTCAGCCAAGCAGCTGTGAGGAAAATAAATAGGATTTTGGAAGAAGCATAGCAATCCTGCCCAAGATTCTTTTTGCTGCTACAAAGATGGTTTTTTTTGCCACTACCAGCTCCCCACACAAACACACAACAAAAAGATCTGCCAAACTATTCAGACCCTTGCGACAAAAATCCACTCTCTTGAAAAAAAAATCTACAGTACAATATTCAGTTCTCCTAACCTTCTCCATGCTGTGCCCAGATGTGAACAACTTAACAAACAGACACACAAGCTGGGAGCCAAGGAATACATAAAGTGGGGACAGACCAGACTGTTCCCCAACAGCAAACATTCCTATGCAGATGCTGCCTCTCTGTGCCTGATCTTGCCTTCTCTGTACGCTGAGTTTGTGTATCTTTTCTACATGCAAAAGCTGGATTTGCGTTTGGTTTGCACACATCTTAATTTACTTTAAACCTGGAAATTAGTTGAGATGCGAGGGAATGAAAATTGCATTACAATCCAAGAGTTAAAAGATAACTTTCAATAGAATAAATCTTCCAATAATTTAATTCAGTTCATCTGCTATCTATATTTTTGCAGTGATGTTTACAGTATGATACAAAAACTGCTCCAGTATGCAAATCGACCCTGAAGTGGAGCATTTACTTCCCAAGATTAGCCAATGAACTCTGAACAATTAAGCATGGACAGACACAACAGAACTATAAATGACCTTATGCATACCTGTGAGGGGAGACCAGTAAAATGACCCTATGCGTACCTGTGAGGGGAGCCAGGCATGCATCTGAAAACAAGGCTCTCCTGTCTCAAAATTCTCCTGTCACAGCTATGCTAACTCCTGGCTTGTTTCTACTTGAGGACTATTTTGTCCTAAGTCCTATTCTACTTCCTAAAGAGCTTTCATCTGTTGTAATGCCCTGCCAGAGGTAAATCGTTATCTCAGTCTGCAGCAAGATTACCCTGCAACCAAAAAACCCTGCCAAAATTGTGAGCAGATTCACTTCATTTCCCCTCCATCTCAAGACGAATGGACATCTGAATTTGCCTCTCCTACCCTTCCTTTATGGATTGGAGAGACTAATTCCTCATCACTCTCTTTGCTTTCCACTTCCCATTAGTGCAGTTTGCAAGTTGTAGCGGGTAAGAACAATGCTGAGAAAAAGGAGATTGAGTTTATTCAGTTCTATGAGTTTGGGTTGCAAATCCAGTGGGCAGAAGTATCAGGCCTCATAATCACAAGTTTAGCCATCAGGTTAAGCTACATAGGCTCTTTGGCCAGTTGTCTAATGACTTAAGCTTTTAGGTGTAGATCAGGCCTTATGGCCAATTGGTCAAACCATAATTTAGCACGACAGGAATACACTCCAAAATGAAATGGGAACATTTATCCCCTGAAGAGAAGAAAGAATGATTTTTCAAGTGGTCTTCTCCCATCCCTTTGGAAGATTTAGAGCTTGCATTTCTAACAGTGGTGTAGAAAAGGACATTTTGGCAGCTATAGTAGTGAACCAGATAGGTTCATTAACTTTGAAAGCTTTAGAGAAGGGGACTCATGCGCAGGCCACGCCCATCCCAGCTCCACAAAGGGGGAAAATGTCACACTGTGTCATGTGACGGCAAAGTGACACGGTGAGTTTGACACCCATGCTTTAGAGTTTACCTCAGGTCTAAAATCCTTGGATGACACTTCCCCAACCTGATCAATACCTGTCAGTGAATTCCTCTTGGTTCTTGCCTTTGTGCTCACTGTGTCTGCACAGCCAGGCAACCTCATCCCGGCAGAACGACAGAGCCATGAAGACATAAATTGCCTATTGATATTGAAAGGGAGGGAGGAGCATCAGACAAAAGAGAGTTGAGCATTCATTCTAAGTAGAATTTCCAGTTTATGAAAATTATGTTCATTTTCTCCTAAGATTTTAGAGTAGACAGGCGAACATATCTCAATGCTACAAATAGCTTCCACAAATCTCTGTTCTATTGTGAATTCTGGATCAAAATAATGGAGTGATTTAAAGCGTGAAAAAGAACTTTAAAGAAGTGAAGAACCTGAAATCGGCAGACCGATTATTAAAATTGCTGGAATTAGTATAAAGAGCCACATTTAGTTCTGGTTCATGTTTTCTCCATGTGTCAAAGATTTCTTTCATGACTAAAGTGATGAAGGAAGGAGGGAGGAGGGAAGCAAGTAGATGAGACAGAAGAGGAAATAAGGGAAAGAATGAAGAAATATTTGTAAGATAGAAATGGAAGGCCACAGTTTCCAGCAATGCTCATTATTGTAGTAAGGTAGAACAGTGTTTTAAAATCTTTTTTCCCTCAGAATCTCTTCCCAAATTTAAAAATCAAGAAGGATATCAAAGGAGTTTTTGTTTGTATGTTTTACATTTATCAATATTTATTATATCTGAAACTAAAAATTATGCATTTGCTGCCACTACTTCTTTACACGATGGCTTGATTGAACTTCTATATTTTATGGTTTTTCAACGCAAACTGGCCAATAATTTTGGTTTTGTAGACCCCTGAAAGGGAGGAGTTCTGGGACTACACTTTAAGAAATATTGAGGTAGAATTACAGGATCTTGAAAGGTTATCAACATTTTGAGAATCTTACACTAAACAAAATCAACATGGCATTGTTTTGCATTTATACTAAAAAAAGAAGATGATGATTTTGAATTTCTCACATTTCTTTCTGTAATTCTTCCTTTAAGGTGTCCCTTAATGATTTGCTCCTTGCTTTCCTCTTTAATGGCTCTCTCATAGCTTCCCAAGGTCAGCTCAATGTTCCTTTATCAGATATGTGTGTGTGTGTGTGTGTGTGTGTGTGTGTGTGTGTGTGTGTGTGTGTGTGTTGTGTGTGTGTGTGTGTGTTCCTTGGTAGTTATCTTGGGTACCACCTGTGTTACAGGTACTCTGGAGCAGTTCTCCAGCCTGGTGCCTTTTCAGGGTTCATATCAATTCCTAGAATTCTTAGAACAGCTGTTTGCTAGGATGGTTACAAAAAGGGTTAACTGGAGAAAAACAGTGAAGTGGGGCAATACAAAAAAAGACAAAAAGCAGACAGGCAAGGGTAGAAATCTCTTCCAGCTCTTTCCCACTCTTTAAATCACTTCAATTATTTTACCCAGGATTCATGCAGAATGAGTTTAGAAAAGCTTGCCATGGGTAAGTATAATCTAGCACACAAATGGGAAAAATGCCTTTAGGCTGACCAAATATTTCATCATTAATCCAACCAGGATACCGAGGTGAATATTATTATTTTCATTTGCTTTTTAACACTGTGTACAACATCAGGCACTGACAGCACAAAAGCCTTCTCTTTTTAAAACTTGTTTCTATTCCGCTGAGGCCCTGTTAACTGAGCATCAGCTACTGACAAAACACAAGCCATTAGTAGAGACAGAGACCGGGGCACTTCAAATCAAGAACCAGTAAGCCAATGTAGGTATATGAATACCGATAGTCCTCAACGTACAACCACAACCGCACTTGATTTTTATGAATTTCTTTGCCACGCTTGTCAAGAGAATCACTGCAATGGTAAAGTGAATTGTTTGATTGTTAAGCTTTCCCCATTGATTTTTTGCCAGAAGCTGGCTGGGAAGGTTGCAAACAGCAATCCTTTGATCCCAGGACACTACAATTGGTGTAAATACATGCCAATTGTTAAGCATCTGAATTCTGATCATGCGGCCATAAGATGCTGTGATGGACCAGTGTTCTTTTTTTTTTGCAGGGCTGTTGTATTGTTGAACATCCACTAAGCAAATGGTTGTAATTCATACTTGCTCATCCTTCTCATATATAGAGAGGCCTGTGTGCATTTTACGTGCACAAATCTCTCTTGTGCCTGCATTGGCCCAACTCTAACTGCTCACACACACAGCATAAATAAATCTGCTTGCACTTTCACAGCTCTTAGTTCTTGCCCACCTCTATATCTCCCTGACCAACTTACCTTGGGGCCCAACAGTCCAGGTTCATTGGCCAGAATAGTCTCCATCTCCCGCACAGCATTCCTCAAGTAATTACGCCGGCCTCGATGAAATTGTCCGCTGTCAAGAAACCAGCCAAAGTATTCATATGAAAAGAATCCCACCTCTCCCAGTGCCCTCCCTGCATGTCATCAACATGAGAAAACTTTTTTTTTTTTTTTTGTTGGCCATAGCAAGCAGCATAAAGAAAAGATTGTAATACTGGGTCAGCCAAAACAGGAATTTCCTCCTATTCCTTTTTAGGGTTCCACCACAAAACCGCGTTCGACTAAAGCGCGCTCGACGAAACCGCGTAGCTGATGTCATCACAGCG